TCAATGATTGGGATCATTGTCACAAAAAGAGGAGCGAAACCAGAAACATCGTGTGGCAAATCCAAAACTAAACCATCTCAAGATACATCATCTCAAAAATGGACCAATTTCGCCCATTTCATAACCCCTTTTCGAAAAGTATGGGGTCAATACTAGCGTCCCATGAATTTTCTGTGTTCAAACATATTTTCCCACACATATCCACAACCATCCCATTCATTCTCAGGCTTTTCACCCAACAACCCAGAGCTCCAAAACCAAGTGTTTGCGGCTCCTCACCCTCCACGTCCTCATAAGTGTACTCAGACCTTGGAAAAATAGGAGATTTCCAGGGTTTCTACCTGCAAAAATAGCAGTGGTTAATAGTGGTCTATACCATGTTATACCTGCTCCTAGTCAGTGATGTTGAGGACACGTTAAATTGAAATGATCTATACCAGTGATACTTCGTATTCTTCTAACATTGGAAGTTAAGGTCACCTTAAGCCTACCATGGATCCGCTGGACCGATCGCTCAGTTTCTACCCTACTGACCAGCGATACTGGAATTCAATGTTGAGTTTGACATCTTCCACCTGTTTATAGCACAACAAACCATCAAATCCCATGAAAAGCTGCTAGTAGTTTCCTGATGTACCCAATGATGTGGTTGGTTTGGTACCATTTCTATTCATACATATTTCCATTTATAATTTATATTTATCTATATACCATTTACTAACACAAATGGAGTTTAAGGGGTATCCCTCTATTGATCCCATCCTCGATATACCCCAGGTTGCCATGGCACGCTTCGGTGTAGGTATACTCAGACCTCGGATTCGATGAGGTGACGCTTAGGATCCCATTGGGAGGTACTTGTGATATATTTTCAGACGTTGTATGCGGTATGATTTGTAATTTCTATATTGTATATATATATATATACACATACTATATATAATATATGCATATATTATGTATATATATATATACGCGTGTTGTATATGCATATATATATATATGTGCGTTTGTACGCATATTTGCATATACAAATGTACAATGGGAATAGAATCGTACATCAATGCAATATCATGAAATGATGGTGATACAATGGGGCTATAATTCTATATATATATATATATGTCCTTGCAACCCGTGTGCATGTATGGAATACATACGCAACGGGTGTATAATGGGATGATATAACACCAATCATATTCGATTTATCACACATGGTGTTCCGCATGTTCTTACTGGGGTTGGGGATTACATACGAAGTTTAGGGATGTAACGAAGCGAGTCAGTGGGAAATCAAAACAAATAGGTTAATTTGGGATCCAAAATGAGACCCGAAAATCTGAGCAATCTGAAAGGGGACAAGGCCAATGTCATAGAGTTGTTGGAGGGGTCTGCTGGGGGTGGGCAAATCAGGGTATCAATGAAAGCATGTGAAACGAAGGGTATTTCTTCGTGGTGTTTTTGGAATTGCCAATTCCCTTCAGAATGTGGCTCATAGTCAGAAATTGTGACCACTAAGTGGTCGCTCGGTGGGAACTGTGACCACTTGACTTGGGGCAATGGCTTGTGCTCCCGCTGATGTAGCCCTTGCTGAGACTTCACACACCTCTTTTATTTACAGAAACAACCAACCAAGGTATGCTCAAAAGATACTGACGATACACGGGCAAAAAATAAATAATCACACAATCCACTGCAACCTCAATATGGTCTTGCACATATATTGAGATATTTTGGGCTAAACTTCAAGATGGCACCGTGAGTATGTCCCCAGCTCTAGTTGACCCCATGAAACATCCCAGTCGCAAGCTCCCAGCAAGTCAGTCCCAAATGCTGTCTGAAAGTTGGAATCACCAAGAAGGATGGACGTAAATATAACATGCAACATGCAAATGACCATTTAAAACCCACCTTCAAACTCATTGTGGTTCCAATCTGTAAAAATGAAATAGTTTCACTATGTTTCACTATGTTTCACCACTCAGTTTATGTTTACTTCATAAGATTAATACACTGACTGTCATACAATACACCAATGGTGAACCCATCCGGCAGGTCCAGGCGGCTCGTTGCCATCTGCAACGGCTTTAGCTTTAGCGGCCACCTGCCATGGAATCGTTGCAACGCAACATCGGATCCACGGAATCTGTACCAAGGCTTTTTTGTGATATACCCTCTGGTTATTTAACATAGCCATGGTATAGATGGCCCATAGAAATAGATGGTTTACCGAACTTAAAAATGGTGATTTTCCCATGGCTATGTTAAATAACCAGAGGGTAATATACCCTTACAAAATCACTTTCTTCAAGTGACCCCCACCAACTGACATCCTCTCTGATATATATTCTGACATTCTATTTGGCATTCTTTCTGATATATATTCTGACATATTCTGACATATTCTGACATTCCATCTGGCATTCTTTTTGGCATTCTATCTGGCATATATTCTGACAGTCTGTCTGGCATTCTTTCCGGCATTCTACACTGGCACGTGTTCGGGCCCATGCGTGCCCAGCTGCATCCGGAGCTCGCGACAGAGTTCGGGCCCAGGCATGCCCAGCTGCATCTGGAGCTCCGGATAGGGTTCGGGTCCAGCTGCATCGGGAGCTCGCGATAGGGTTCGGGTCCAGGTGTGCCCAGCGGGCAGAGGAGGAAGAGGAAGAGGAAGAGAAGGAGGAGTTGCACCTTTCCTAAACTCTAGAGACCCTCGCCTGGCAGGTGGGGAAAAAAGAGCTACATGTAGAATAATCAATATACCTTTATAACTTTATAGAACTGAACTGACCAACATCATCCAACATGTATATATACATTTGAGGTATAAAAATATACCATGGGTCACCAGCCCCACTCTTTTGATGAGTATTTAATGAAACCATGTAGCATCACTACTCCGAGTTTCTCGCCGCGCCTTGGGTGCTGCAACTGCCTTGGTGCTATCAGCTTTGAGTCTGTCTACAAATGGAAATCTACATTTGGCAGTGTGTCAAAACCTTGTACCCCTGGTGAACCCCAAAATAGCTGGTAAATGGATGTTCATCCCACTAAAAATGGTATTAATAGGTATTGACCCATACCCATTTGATGGTTGGAAAAAGTATGATACCAATTACCAATGGATTCTCATGACACTTTCCAGTTCAAGATTCCGGTTGAGTTTTCCTGGAAATATGTTGGGTAATATTCCCCATGGGTCGAAAACTTTAATAAACTCGTTTTACCCAGTTGAATTACCATGTTTTTGCATATACACACATTATACACGCATACTTATATAGACATATACATCAACCCCTAAGTCCATGTCCATCAAATTCAGAATGTCCAGCAACATGTGACAATCCGCCCTGCCTCCAAAAAGTGGCATCATCCCATGGAATACAACAAGCAGAAACATGATAAACAAAAATAATGATGCTGGCAAATGATGAACTAGAATGATGATAAACATATATAAACATATTTATGATGCACAACAACTAAAATGATGAACTTCTAATTTACCATATAAACATAAATTATGGACTATATAAAATGAAGTCAAATGGTCAAAAGGTAAATGTCCATCATTTGAACATCTGCCATTTCTCGTCATCAAATGAACGTCCATCATTTTCCGGGACCATTTCAGGTTTGATACGGATTCCCAGAAGAAATTGTCCCATCATCGTTACCCTCTGGTAAACTAACATAACTATGGAAAATCATCATGTTTAATGGGAAAATCCACTATAAATGGTCATTTTCAATAGCTATGTTAAATTACCAGAGGGTATTCTTTGAAATCTGAGTTCCAGGAATTGGATGATCGGACAGTTCACAGTAAAATTAACAGTAAAACGCGATAATGACTGGTAAAATCATCGTGTCCGGTAGATTTTACCAACAAAATCAACCCATTGATAGATCTGTTTTACCATGTCTGAGTGTCAGTTATATCTTCAGATCTGCACTGATCAGCTGAACAATTCGCAAAAAATAGGGGGTCTGCCTCCAAATCAATTGATGGTGGGTCTAGTGACCATTAAACATGAGGATTTAAAGGGATAGAATATGATATAGTGGTATATAACATGATACAACTAACCGACTTGATATGGTATGATATGTATATATATACATAATTATGTATATATATATAATTATGTATATATATATAATTATGAATATATATATATACCTGTGGATCCAGCTGTAACCTTTGAGGAATTACTCGGGGTGTGATTTGAGAGATCAAGTCCCTTCTTAGGAAGTATTTGGATCTACAGGGACTGTAAAATCCCTCCTACTGATATAGTTGATGATGATAATCCCAAATTTGTTGGTGGTATAACTCCCTCGAACATATCATCAACCAACTGAGGTTTTGAAATTGATTAATTGCCGAACATGTATTCAACTGAAGACCTGCAAACATGGTGATATTTCGAACCGTATCGAAACCCTGCAATTCTTGGACTACTAGTAGCGACCCCAACCCAAGCAGTTGGCCCATCGTAAGTGGATAGTAACAGTAGAGTAGCCGAGTTAGATGAATGGAATATCCCCAGTTATGTATATGTATACCCTCTGGTAAACTAACATAACTATGGAAAATCACCATTTTTTATGGGAAAATCCACTATAAATGGTCATTGTCAATAGCTATGTTAAATTACCAGAGGGTATATATGTTTCTATACGGGTTGTAAATCCTTGCAAACTGCCATGCACTTCCAAGACGTGACGAGCTCACGATCATACAATGTATGTCAGGATGAGAAACCCGTACATAGCACCACTGTATATTCAACAACCATCATGTCAAAACCTCTGATCAAACACACATATGTGTATATATATATATTATAACATATATCATATATATATATAAATCATATATATATATGCATATATGTGATCGTATGATGTATATACACAAAATTCATCAAGTATGCACACATTATATGAATGCATATGCATTGTATTTATCTTACACCATTGAGATCTCCGGCCGGCACGCGTGCAGCCGTTCCAGCTCCAGCTGTTCCCTTCGGCCTACAGGTCGCAGGTCTTAGGGCTGTTGGGGGAGGGTCATATCTCCCTCCGAATTGTTTCGAAAAAATATATCATATCTGTGTATTCATGTTTTTTCAATGTTTTTTTTGACGTTGATTCTGAAAAATTGATGTTGATTTATTGATGTTTGTTGATGTAGCCAACAACAAATTCAGTGTTAGTAACAATGGGTATAGTTCATACGTTATATACGTTGCAGTCAAGATCATTTATGGTAACTACTGTACATCTCAGTCCAGGGATGTCATGAATAGCCATGATCATAGCCCATTCAAGACGGGATAGCCAATACCGTCACAGTCGATGATGTGCCGTCACCCATGATAATTTGCACCTCTTGCTTAGTGGGATGCTGAAAAATCTGAAAAGTAAAGTCATACTCCACTATTTCTTGGGATAGCTGTGAGTTAAACCCTTTCGTAACCAGGCACCTACTGTATATGGTCAAAATAGACCAATTTCAACAAGATAGTTTGAAGACAACATACTGTGCTTACACTCATATTCAATCGAGTTTAGCCTTTTCACCCAACGGTTCCGGGTTGTTTCTTCTTCTGCGCATTGTGAAGTGATCAAGTATTTATATCCAGGCCCATCACGAGATGCAGGATGTTCATATAGTTTCGATGAAAATCTACGAATTTGTGACTTTCAGAGCGCTCAAATAAACCCATATTAACCAGTATCATTGCTTGATATAACACCCATACGGTAAGCACTAAAAACAACCAAAACACAGACCTCGTGCAGTATATATGTATATAATTATATATATATATATTATGTATGCGTATGGCTTTTGAAAAAAAACAGAATCTATCGTTTACACTTAGAGAGTTGTTTGGTAAGTCACAGGCTCCTCTATTCTATTCCACTTGAAGTTGCAGGATTGCAAGAAAACACCCCTTTTGGGGAAGCCATACCGATGTCGGCTACATCGCAGTTCTGGTATGCTACTTACAAACTCATTGCATCAAAGGTTGTATCCATGCTTTTGCGGTGTTTCCCATTATTTGTTGGACATATTCATATTTATATAAACAATATACATATATACTTATTATTTATATATCTATATATACATACGTGTATGATTGAAACACCATATCTATCTGATATGCATACAACTATAATTCTGTGTTGTTGTTATCATATACTACATATCATATACATATATAATAATTATGTATGTGTATAAATATATATATATATATGCACGCTCACTTTCTGTCACTTTCGCTGCATGTAAAAGTCTCGCCTTTGCTGCATTCACTTGCAGAATAAACATAATTATGATCCCTTACCATTTCTTCTTTGAAACCATCATCCATGTTTGGCAAACCATTGGCTAACGTCCCAAAGGAGTTTCTTTATCCCTGCCTTGGTGGAGGCGCTGTGGTGGTGGCTGGGCGCCTGAAGGACATACTATAGATGTACTCAACAACACTAAAAGTAAACAAAAACAACATAAATTGGTATTATTTTGTTTTTTGGTGTATGAATATATTTATAATTCTGTTTTTACTTTTATATATTCACACAAGTTGTTGTTTTTTCTAGAAAATTTTCAGATCGGCAGCCCCTGGGAGTGCAGTTTTCCCATGATTTAGGATGATATTTTAAGATGTTTTACTGCACTCCCAAAGGCACTTTGACAGCTTTGCCTGTGATTCATGCCAGTTTCCTTGAAGTACCCACTTGGTAAAAACCTTGGAAAAACCAAACATATTTCTAGACTCTTTGGAAGGGGGGGGGCAGCCAAGACTCTCTGATGGAAGGGGGGAGGGGGGCCAGCCAAGACTCTCTGAAACTTGTTTTTTTTGTTTTTTTTTGTCTTTCGAAGGTTTTTTTGGTTTTGGTCACTTTCAGCCATCTGCACCTCTTTGTACACTGGCCGTTCGGTGTCTTCATGCGTTCAAGCTTGCAGGAACCAATCGTTTAATCACTGCAGCTATGAACATACTGGGTCTGAGGATCAAGACTGTGGGTTCCAATTTTGAAATGTTCGGCCATGTCCTAGATAATAACCTTAATTTTATGCTATACTTTTTGAAAAACATGTTGCATAAATTGGTGGCACACTTTGCTGAAGTAGTACGACCATTGGAATCTGCTGTAGACTCATGTTACACTTTCTTGAAGGGATGCTACACAGATTTGCCAAGAAACTATTCACGTTTAAAACTACGTATACATACATATATATATATACACATACATATGTGCATCTTCAAAGGAAGGCTTTCCTTGATTGACACAGATTTTGCACAGTTTGGAGTAATATGACATGTTTTTTCGAGCAAATGCTGCACTAGTTTGAAAGAGATATTGTAGGTGATTGTGCTACAGCACTCTTTGCATAGGCATGTAGCACTTGTTTACATTGCCAGAATTATATTTGAATAAGTTTGCATTAAGATTTATGATTTATAATTACAATGTATTTTGCATTGTTTGAAGCCATATTTTACTTTGTTTACAAAGATAAGATATTGCACATTTTGAAGACCTTTTGAAAGTCGAGTCACATAGCACCCTTTCAAAACAAAACAACATATCCATAGAACAGTTGTACTCTTTGAAAGGCCATATTGCAGAAGGTGGTGCGATACTTGCTTTACAACAAAAAAAACATATGTTCAAACAGGCTTTTGCATCATCAATGGAATCTACAGTAGGCTCGTGCTACACTTCCTTACAATAATGTCGCACACTTTGCAAGCAAGAATCTGCACTTTCAAAGGTAAAAATGGTTCAATCAATGTGTCAGCAAGATGGCACTCTTTGAAAAACCATGCTGTAGTAGTTCAAGAATAGATTAAATCTTGCAAAACAGCATACTACATTTCCCTACAGGAATGCCATGATTTCAAAAAACATTCAATACATACATAGGAGGGTTCTCCTTGAAAATGGGAAGTAATGCTACACATATTTTAAAGAATGCAACGATGTTTGCAAAAGGTTGTTGCATACATGGAGGAATGGTGTTCTTTATGCAAAGTCATTTTACAAGTTATGTTTGCATGTTTATGTTCCTTCATTTTTTATAGAGAACATATTGCATAAATTGGTGCCTGTTTAATATGCACATGTCCAAAAGAACTATTGCATATGTTGAGGGAAACTCCTGTAGAGATGTAGAGTCTATACATTTTTAAAGCAATGCTGCACTCTTTGGAAAGGCATTTGCACTTGTTTGTTCTGTTGTTTTTATATAGTGTTCATGTTCGTTTTGGCTGAAACTATGTATCTATGTAGGACATTGGGAGAGCTGTTGAGAATGCACCGTGGTCGCTTTTGTTACAGAAGCAACAATGTTTGGTTTTGGAAAGAACAGGGTTTGGTATCTTTTGCAGAAATGACATGTCAAAAATGCAAAAAAAAATGGTGCTCACAACACCCCCCTCCCTTTTTCTTCAATGCATTCAATCATCTTTCAATATGTGTGTGATGATCAAAACTTATGAAACAGCGCACTCCCACAGCCTGCCACTCACAAGATTTTCGCATGGGCAGTGTTTTTTGAGGGGGCTGTACCCAATTTTGGAAGGTGATGATTTTTTTGTTCATCTCGGCCCCAAAAATCTTGGGCAACTACGAATGCGTTGAGATTCTAAAACCATCTCCAAGTTTGAGGTTTATCAAATTGGGTATGTCTATATATGCTTACATACACCATTGTATACCTCTATTTGGGATTCTGTTTACCATGACCCCCAGTCGCGGTTGGTGAACGGGATGGTAAACACGGCAATGGCTTTACTACGTATTTTTTAAGACACCCCTATGGCCCTGGGCAGGAGCTACGAAATCCCACATTTATATTGGACTAGTTACCCTAGTTTAATGTTCAAATCATCCACTGTTTGTCAAAAAACAATTGGTTTATAAAATCAGAAATCCAATGTTCTGTGGGTGCAAAAATCACCAAGTTTGTTCGTTTCAATACATCAAAATAACGTGGTTCTTCGTTTTTTGGTGTCAGCAAAATCCTGAGCTCGGATGCCATCAAATGTTTGCACGGATCAACAATAAAAACTGTTAGGTTGTGGTTTCAAAATCCGTTTTTGATTGGCAAAGAAAAAACACCATTTGGATCAAATTAGATCAGAATGTTCAATCCCCAGGTCCCAGATTTCATCACCCATAGGATCCATGTATGGTATATATGCTAACATTTGGGGTATATTGATGGTAAATGTTACCATATATACCATACATGGATCCTATGGGTCATAAATTTCCGTGGAAAATTTCCCCAACAAAAACCAGGTTCCATCACCAGCCTGGGAGCCGCTTTGGCCCTGGTGGCCACAAAGGGTGGTGCCTGGCCATGGGGATTTCATGGGATATCATGGCGTTTTGGGTTTGTGGAAAAAGGCCATCGCAATGGTGTATATCATGTTATATCCCAACTTATGGAGCATTTCATGGGATATCATGGCCATATATATATATATATACACATATTTATGTATATACTTTGATAGCCCACAAAAAAAGTGTCACCTTTTGCTGGTTATGGTTATCTTCCATGTTTTTCGCAAAAAACTGACGGATTCAACTACCGGTCCAAGGCTGGTGACTGGGGGTGTGATTTAGTTAAGTGCCTTCTCAGGTAGCATTTGGATCCATAGGGATAGATAGTAGCATCCAAAAAAAAAGCAAACCCACATTATCTTTGGATTGGATATGACTGGATCTTACTTTTCTGTACAGATCGTTCTTCCAATCTGGCCACAAAAAGCATCCGTTCACCGCTTGTGTAACCCTTGGTGAAATGTGATGAAATCCACGGGCGCTGCTTGGTAGACCTTGTTGACATCGTTCGGCTCTTGCTTGGTCGCCTGCGACTGGGAGATCCAACTGGGCCAAAATTGCTGAGGACAAGCCAGTTGACAATGATAACTAGCGGATACAAAATTGTAAACCCATAAGATTTTAGTAGTATTGTAGTGTAGTAGTCATGGCCTAGGAAGTTACCATTGGTTCAGAATTTTATGATGCCATAAGAGTGACAAGATACAAGCAGTGGCAAGCAATGTTGGCTTCTGGAGCGTTTTTGGGAAGGGTGATATGAAACCAATGCTCTGGAAATATTGCAGTATCCTGTGACACAAATTCCAAACATGGCCAGCCCTAAATTGTAGTTTTTCATGTATCTTCCAGATCCTGGTATATCTGAATGACATTCACCAAGCTGAAATCAGGAGATTCACCGGTGACGTGGCGGTGAAGTCGTTAAATGGATCTTGGTGGATTTCCCATTGCCACGTTTGACTACCGGAGGGTATAGCAACCACAGAAAAAGTATTCGGATTTTACGATTCTATCATGTTCTATCCCGTTTTGGGGTTACTCTATGTCTACAATATATATATATATACAGATATACACATACACACAGTATGATATATATGTATAATGATTATGTTTACATGGGTGTGTCCTCAAGTTTCCAAGCAGCACAAAAAGGTCTTCTTCCTGGAATACAACAACTCGTCACCCACTGGGGGTGGCAAGATACCAAGAACTTGGTATGTTGACTCAAACAAAAGACATGGTTAAAATTGATTAAATGTTCAGGGAAAAAAACATACTGTGCTAAACCATGTTAAACCCAATCATAATTTTAATTGACCCCAATTGGGGATGGTGCATATGGCATTGGATTTACCTCATTATTCATCACTATTCACATCCAAAAAATCAACAAAATGGAGATCTGACTGACCTTCCAAAAATTATTTATGGCATTGGGTTTGCCTCATTAGTCCCATCAATTCGAACAAACAAAACAGCATAGTTTCTGCCCAAATTAGACTAATTCCTTCGCCTCAAAAGTTCGGCTACCTGGCTACATTGGGATAGTTACCCAAATAATCCATTATTCCAGGGTTCGGTCGCAGTGAGCTGAAATTTCAGCCGTCCCAAGGGCTGCTTCTACCCTTCACCAGGTTGTACACAGTTTTGAGAGCACGGCTCCAATTCGTCAACTTCGATTGAGAGGTTGAAGTTGGATATTGTCAACGGGATCCCAATAGGTTGGTCGCCCGGCTGGACCTCTTCCGTTGCCACTGAACTGTCGTCAACATTACCGTTACTCGTTGTGCTTAGCGGCTTACCCGCAGCGTCTTTCTGTTTATAGGGGATATGACTATGATATAACTATAGTATAACTATAGATAACTAACATTAACTAACATTAACTGACATTAAGTAACTATACTTCGATGGGGTCAACCAACGGTCGCGCTTGGACCTGGACCAAAAAAGCCCAAGCCCCGTCCGTGTTTCCGCGTTTCCGCACCTTGGATTCTCGCTTCTCCCGGGATCCTGGAGAATGGGAGAAGCCTATTGTTGGGGATTTAACTGGGATTTCTGGGATTTAACTGGGATTTGACTGGGATTTGACTGGGATTTGTTGGGGACATATTTGCCATGTCTGATTCTAATAAACCAAATATCAGCCAAATGTAGTGCTTCGGGGTTTCTAGGATTGTACTAAATTTAGATACTAAAGCCTATAAAACTGGTTGGTGGTTGAGTATACCAACCCCTCTGAAAAATGATGGAGTGAAAGTCAGCGATGATGAAATTCCCAACTGAATGGAAAGATAAAAAATGTTCCAAACCACCAACCACATCTAAATCACTCTAAATTGTATCTAAATGATAGCTGAAACCATGTGAAACCCGTTTCATGTTCGATGACATCAGACTCTTTGGTGGTCGTGATTTCGTTGATTCGTTCCAGGGTGTCGCAATGGAAAGCCACCAAGGTCACCATTCTTGATCTAGGAAAATCAAAGTCATGATTTATCTCTCTCTCTCTCTCTCTCTCGATCTATGTATATATATATATATAGATACATATGATCTAACTAAAAGTAAATATAAAACATATGTAATCATGACATGTGTATATATATATAATATAATATATTGTATATTTTAATGGTATTTACAGTGTTTTGGAAGGGTGATGCATCTTTTATTATTCAATGCAACCATATGTCGTCAACTCCCCAATCCTCACTTTTGGGGGTCGGTGTCCTTGGATCTTCTCCAAGAGTTTCTCTGTGCGTTCCTCAGCGTGCGTCGACTAGATTTCAGTGGCGACGTGAGCTGGGTAATAACTGATGTTTATGATGCAATAAACTGATGTTTACTGGTAATAACTAAAAAATAAGATCAAATTTGGGATTGGTTGAGTAGTTGGTCCACTATCCTGTAGTTGAATATATATTATATATATATATATTATGTATACCATGATGTTTAAAGACGTCTGCCTATCAAATCATAGAAAACGAACTAAAACTCGAAGTGCAGCCTTGAAATCCATCCAGATGCGGAGATCAAAATTCTGGTACAGTGGTGTGAAAAACAATGGAGCCCCGTGTGTTTGACGCGCTGCACTCTGCTGTGAGCTATGTATGTGTTTGTGTATGTATTCACGCTGTTCATGGAGGCAGCTATCTATGTCTCTATCTATGTCTCTATGTCTCTATACAGACACTAGCTATTTTGTGCAATATCTGGGTGACAGTATATACAGGTAGCCAGCAATCACTGAGACTGACTCCAGATGATCAGTTCATACAAGAGTCAAGAGATCGTATGTGTACACATGTGTATAATATTGCATAATTGTATATATATATATATGCATATGTTTCAAGAACCACATCTGTTGTCTAAAGCCAACAAAATCATACACGACGTTTAATGATATGAGATTACAACAACATTGGAATCAGGGTGTTTTCTCATGTTGCAGGCTGCAGGTTACGGTAGCCGTACAGGCACGAAAGGACCCTGGTGAGATATCATCTCTGCCAAATTTCATATACCGTAGCTATGTCAAACTTCCAGAGGGTACAGAATCGGAAACTTGGCTCAAATGAGTCGGCCACTTGGTTTTTCTCCAACCAGCCGATCATCCAAAATCTCCAAAACCCAAGTCATGTTTTCTCCCAAAATCCCGTTGGGTGTCTCCAAAATTCAGGTACCCGGTACCCAACGCCTCATGTATAGGTAATATGTTCGATTAAAATCATTTAAAATCACCCTCTTTTGAGTATATCCCATTTTTACACGCCCAAACTCATATTGTTGGTAAAATAGCCTACGAAATCCCAAGTACATTCCCATTCCAATTGGTAAAAAGCATGGTATTTCCCAGTCGAACATCCCTGGGCCTTCCCACCCCCGCGGCAGCACGTTCATCCCTGAGCCAGGGCTGTTAGTCAATAAGGTGACCTCACAGTGCTTGTAATAGACACAATAAACATCCAATAATTTACCAGCATATCCTCCCCACTGTATAATTATATATATAATATATAACATGAAAAAAACATTGTATCTCCGTTTCTGGTAAACTCCGTACAGTCAGCTCCTGCATTTACAATCAATACATCAATTTTTCGTGAACACATGTGAACACTGTGTATATATATATATATAATATTATAATATTATTATAAATTATAATATAATATAATTTTGATGAATATCCCATCACTAATGTTTTTATGGGTTTTTGATGAAAAAATTGCCCAAGCCCATCCCAAGCCCATCCCCAGCCCATCCCCGGCCTCCTCCGAGGCCTCTCCGAGGTCTGCCGCTCCTGGCGCCGCGGCGAGGCCTCGGCGTTGCGGCGCTCGCGGCCCTCGCGGTCCTTGCGGTCCTTGCGGCGCTCGCCGCGGTCACCGCGGTCGCGGGCCTCCCCAGGGATGAGATGGGTCAAAACCCTGGTACCCCTGGTGAACCCCAAGTCATAGCTGGGATTTATGGATGTGAATAACCCCCTAAAAATGTATCTATAGGTATTGACACCCATGTGACTGTGATGATTTTTAGAGATTTGATCTGGTGATGCCTTCTCCCTGATCAAGAGTTGGGATTCGAGATGATTTGAGATGATTTGAGATGCCGCAGAAAGTATCAAGCAATCATGAAGCGGGATTTGGGCCAGACAAATCTATGAAAATGGTGTTCAAGCATGTCTTGACCATGCTTGAAGCAAGATTCATGGAAATCTCACAACCAAAAACGTCGAGTTTTGTAACGCAACCATGGTAACCATAGGGCGCTAGGGATGTGTGTTGGATCCGGCGAAGTGATGGAATCCTTCAAAATCCTTAAAACATGTTGTTTTTTTCATGCAAATGTCTATCTGGTCCTGGTCAAGCTCAATGAACTTGAGTTCCCTATCCCCAAACTCTCTTTGGATCCATCATCCCAAATCAGGATCCAAACTACACGAAATATGTGAAAGCTCGGACCAGGTTTGATAAAGGTAAGGTGGTGCCCCAGTTATGTTTGTTGGTTTATAGCCCCCATTAACTATAAATGTGTATATTCAAAGGAAGTTTAGGGGGAGAAACTTCCGTGTTACGGACTTTTAGAATGTCAGGGAAAGAGTTAGTCAAAGAAAGAGTTAGCAAAGAAAGAGTTCGTCAGGGAAAGAGTTAGTCAAAGAAAGAGTTAATGAGGGAAAGAGTTAGTCAAAGAAAGAGTTAGTGAGGGAAAGAGTTAGTCAAAGAAAGAGTTAGCAAAGAAACAGTTAGTCAGGGAAAGAGTTAGTCAAAGAAAGAGTTAGTGAGTGAAAGAGTTAGTCAAAGAAAGAGTTAGTGAGGGAAATCTCGAGTTTAGTCAGGGAAAGA